CTCCACAGTGGCCGCCGCCGCCGCCACACTCTCTTGCCATGCGTGCGGGGGGATTCTCGTGGAGGGAGCGGAGCACTCAAGTACGCAGACTGGGTGGCTCCACCACTTCGGTGAGATAGCACCTCGGGTGAAACCCACTGGGGGCCATGCGCCCAAGCATCTTCGTGCATCTGCGTCGGTGCGTCCCTCCACCCATCCACCGACCCCGTCACCAAAGTGTGGCGTGCTGTCTGCCATCAAGGGCTCCCAACTTCGCGCTTCGCGCTGCGCGAAGCGCGAAGTGCGAATAACTTCGCGCTCTCGCGCCGCCTCCCAAGGGAGAAGAGGAGGATGAGGAGGAATCGGAGCCGAAGCGCGAAGCGCGAAGCGCGAATAACTTCGCGCCCTCGAGGGCGCCCTTGGCCATGCCTCTGCGGCAGCGGTCGTGCGGAACGGGGTCGGGGTGGTAGAGGGAGGCCGGGTTCCGATGCTCAACACTTCAGCTCAAGCGAACGAGTTGGGAGGGAGACGCAGGAGGCGGTGGAGGACGTGATGCTCAGCCTCAGCCGCGGGGGGCCTCGTCAAGGAAGATTAAAAGTTGCCCTGCTTTCCAATTTTCGCACCGCCCCAATCCTATGGTCACCCAGACCGGCCTGGGGACGGACCCGAATCCCAAGGTAGGGGCCGCATCCGGCAATCTTGAAGGCGCCCCACATCAGGACGCGAACTTGGAGCAGCTGGCACATATGAGGAGCAGTGGCTTCCGTCAAACGCTGCCCCAGAGGAACTAGTACACACTTGGCCAACTGAAGCTCCAGAGTGGCGACCTTTTCAGCCGAGGTGAAAGAAGGAACCAGGAGGGGGAGGTCACGAACGGAGGGGAGAGTGGAGCCCGCATCATCGGCACAGGCGCCGTTGAGCGGCGGCACGCTTGGGAGGTGCTGCATCTGGGCCGTCTGCGCCTCAAGGAGCCTCAAGAATGTGTCCATGGCAAATGCCCAGAGCGTACCTGGGAGGGAACCACCCTGGGCAAATCCTGAAATTAGGGGCACTGAGGGAGCCAGATGCGAGGTGAGCGCGAAAGGAGGCGTAGACGGCACCCGCGACTGCTGTAGCCCTCAGGGATCCTATGTTTCAGCAGCACTCGGCGGAGACCCTGCCGGGACAGCGAAGGGAACGCTGCCTTGAGGTGAACAGAGACGACGACAAAAGCATCATCTCGCCATGGCGGCCCGCAGCCCTGCCATATGCACCGTGAACCACAGGTGTGCTTTACGCCATACCTCCCCTCCGTGAACCCTTGCTGGACGGGGGGCGCCCTCTCGGCGATGACCGCCGCCGGCTCGTGGCTGACGGCAGTCGTCATGGTCTCAACGTCGGTGCTCTCCGTGGTCGGGGGGCGCACCTGCCCGGCCCCTCTGACGACGTCGACCGCGTCGGCGGGCTCGTCGCCCTTCGGCGCAGATGCAAGGCTGCACAGTTCGAGAAGTTGAGGCCCCACGGCGGCACGCGCCCAGTAAAGAGGCCCATCATCACCGAGTATGGGACCTGCAGAAGCCGCTCGTCCAGCAGCCGCGCAGAAGCAGGCAGGCGGTCAGGGCCTGGCGCCGAGGGTTTTGCCCGACAAAGGGCCCCAGCAGGCGCCGTCAACGACGAGATGGGCAATTGCGGGGCCTCGTGCTCGGGGACGTGCTCGGCCAAGTACTGGTCGATCATAGCTTCATCGACCACCTTGCCGCGGAAGACGGGGCCCCAGTGGCGGCGAAGGTCTGCTCGCATGGGGGCGCCACTGCGCTCTGCTCATCCTGATGGCCAGAACAATCTACGCGAATGCCGGAAATGTGGGGGCGCCGGCGGAACGGCACCCACAGCTCTGCCCGCTGGCAAGCAGCGCGATGTAGCTTCCGCATCTGCGTTGCCGAGGGGTCGGTGCCTCCTGGCCAGACCCGGGACGCGTCCTCAGCGCGCTGCGCCGCAAGGCTCTGCAGGCGGTCGTGCCATTGGGCGCGGAGGTGGACCGACTGGCTGAGGAATGCCTCAGAGTCGCGCAAGCCTGCGCCGAAAACGCCAAAGAGCAGGTGGGATGCCCCAAACTCCGTAGTGTCAGTGAGGGTCTGGGCCAAGGAAACAATTTGTCGCCATATTCGGCGGTGGACAAACCTCCCTTTAGTAAACCTCCCCTTAGTGAAAACGGCCTGGGACCGAAACCGACGGACCTGGACCCGCAAAAGTGACGGCCGCTACGCCCTCTCGCGAACCGAAAACGGCCAATTCCTGAATCGACGTGTCAGGGTAGGAGGTCTGTCCACCCCCGACATATGCCTGCCATCGCAGGCTTCCTCGGGCCTGTCCCCGAGCGGCAGCCGCTGGGGCTCCTTGCGGGTGCAGCGGGCCGCCTGGTGTGGCAAGGTCTTGGCCAAGGCCCGGCGCTCCACCGTGCCCGGGACGCCCAGGTCGGGGTCGGGGCAGTCGAGGAAAGCCCTCGCGCGCCGCGCAAAACATGGGCCACCTGAAGATGGTCTCCGGGATTGTCTGCGCGTCGCGCGGCGCCTTTGCTCTCGGCCGGAGGGACATCAGCACAATGGCGTGGTCGCCGAGGCCACAGTCCGACAAGGAGGCCGCCTCCTGCCAGATCTCCGTCATGACGTCCGTCTCCACAGCCCATGGCCACCGCAGCGAGACGAAAGCGCGGTCAATGAAGGACCTGCTCTGGGATGCCTTTGAGAAATGCGTCGGGAGCTCGCAACACACATCCATCATGGAGCCCTGGAGTAGCCGTCTCCAGAAGGATTGCCCTGCCTGGGCCTGGTGCCACACCGAGCCAACTCCATGAGAAGTTCGAGGAAGGAATCTGTCATCAAAGCGTTCTGGCGGGCGTCCTCTGGAACCTTCTGCGCGCAAATGCGCTTCTGCTTCAGCACCGGCAGGCGCTTCCCCAACAGGACGATCAGGAGGATCGTGTGTGCTCCGCGCTCGAGCACGGGCTGGTTGGGGTCGAAGGTGTTGTGCAGGTTCTTGGTCGCTGATGTTGAAGTCGCCGACTGCGACGAACAGGCGATGTCGCTCCGCCTGCTGGGCCCAGCGGGCGGAAGAGCCCCAGGCCGTCTGGATACGCGGCCGTTCTGCGAGGGACAAATCACAAGTGTGGATATTCACCAGCTTGGCTCCTGGCAGGGATGGCGATCAGCAGCGTTGCGACTCCCCCCGCCGCCAACACCTCGAACTCGAAGGTCGGGATACGCAGGGGATCGGTCGCGGCTAGAATCTTCTCCGAATGCTGGGGGGCCATGAGAGCGATGCCTCCGGTGCCAGGAGTGGCCCCAGCAGAGAAGAAGAGACGGTACCTGTAGGGGTACTGTCGGAGGACCTCCCGGATTGCGGGTTCCCGACCGTGAACTACTCGTACAACGATGGTCACGCCTCGGCGAATCAACGGTTCCAGGCGGCCCCACTTGCCACGCCCCTGGTGCGTGCGGCGGCGCGTGAATCCGCAGGCATTCCAGGAAGCCATCCGGACCTGAAGGCGCCAGAAGAGGACTGCGCATCGCCCAGCAGCCAAGGGCACCAGCGTCCGTTAGGAAGACAACCGTCCACCGCCGAGAGCGCGAGCGCAGCCTGGAGGCGGCGCTGGACCTCCGCCTTGTCGATTCCCCTGAGCCCGAGCTCGACCACTGGGACGGAGTTCCGGCTGATGAGGCTCTGCGAGCGGTTCGCAGACCAGGGGGCCCGCGGGTGCATCTCGGTGGGGATTGCCAGGGCCCGCTTCGCGTGCATCTCCCTGCGGACCTGCCTGGGCGCCTTGTCAGCCCCAGCGTAGAGCGGGCACTGCTGTCCCGAAGGCGTGGCGGCAGAGAAGGAGCGCCCTGGCCCGCCAGGCCGGCGCAGCGCTCGGGCGAGCGCGACGGCGCGGGTGGTCTGCCGCAAGGCCGCCGCGGGCGTGGACGTAGAACGCCTGGCGGGGCTCGCGGGGCCCACCACGTGGATGTGCTCTGCGGCCACGCCCGACCCGGATATCCACTCACGGAGGCTCGCCCTGACCGCGTCGATGGCCAGGAGCTGGGGCGAGCCTGCGGTGGACGTGCGCGGGTCGGCGTCGCGGTCGTATTCCGGCAGGCACTCCAAGTCCGCGGCCGAGAGCTGGCGCTCGGCGACGGCCAGGTCACGCCTTGATCTCATCCACGCTCTTCTTGAGGCGCTCGCTCTCCTGGGCCATGCTGTGCTGCTCGTGCCACAGCTGCTGGATGTCCGTGTCGTGGCTGTCGAGTCCCTTGATAGCGGGGGCCGCAGAACTGGGACATTGTCGCGAGCATCTCGGACTACGCCGCCTCTCCGTTGCGCTTGCGCACCTCCATCTGGTCAACCTCCTGGAGCGGGACCACCACGGGGGACACGCTGCATATGCCGCCACGGATCTTGGTCTCGGAGGACATCATGGGCAGCCAGCGCCGCTGGGTCAGCCTCCGCTGCCGTGGCTCGGACGGCAGTCACCGCCGCGGCGTCGGGAGCAGCGTCGAGGAGGATGGAGGAGGAGGAGGAGGAGGAGGAGGAGGAGCAGGCGGAGCGAGGATGGGTATGAAGGAAGAGGGGGGGAGGGAGGTGGAGGATGGAGAGGAGGAGGAGGAGGAGGAGGAGGAGGAGAAAGCACAACCAAGGATGACAACGACGACGACAAAAGGACGGAGGATGACGAGGAGGGTAATAAAATGGAGGGGGTGAAAATGAGAAGCCGAAGGAGGAGGGCGCCCTCTCCCCCCGAGCTCCAGCCACACGCCCAGCTTGCTCGTCGCCGTTGGCGCCGAGCGCGTGGTCGTCGTCGTCGTCGCCGCCACCGCGCCCTCTGTCGTCGTCGCCGCCGTCGTCGTTGTCGAATGTCGCAAACCGTCCTCATTGTCGTCGTCGTCGTCGTCGTCGTCGTCGTCGTCAGTCGTCAGTCGTCAGTCGTCAGTCGTCCTCGTCGTTGTCGTCGTCGTCGTCGTCGTCGTCGTCGTCGTCGTCAGTCGTCGTCGCCAATCGTCGAGCTCCAGGACCACGCCCAAGCTGCTCGCCGCCGCCAGCGCGCTCGGGTGTTCGGCCCCCAGCGAGCGCTCGAAGCCGCTGAGGGCGCGCCGCAGGAGCTCGGCCGCCTCCTCTGAGCAACGTTCAGGGGGGACCGGCTCAGGGGCGGAAACATCGGGATTGAATCTGCGACGCGACACTGATAGATCGGCGATGGGCTCCCCTTGGCGAATCCGCACATTCCTGTGCGGGGTGGGCTATCGAGCCTCCATTGGCGGTCCGTGGGCGATCGGGGGTCGATGCGGCCCCCCCTGAGCCTATCCCACCCTGCCGTTGCCCGAGATCCTCGTGTCGGCCCGCGTCGCTCATCAAGTTGGCCATGTTGGCAGCCGAAGCGAGCGCACCTCGTACAGGTTAGGAGGCAACTTCTGAGAGGTCTTCGCACGAGCGCTTGATCGGCGGCGAGCCCAGGGGGGCAGTGAAAGGGGACAGGCCTTATCGGAAGGCGGCGGGGCTTCTCAGAAGCCCTCGCGCCTTCTGAGAAGCCCCGCCGCCTTCTGAGTAGGCCTGCTCTCTCGCACTTTCCCCTTCGCCGCGCCGCCGACTGGAAACAGACTTGGCTGGATTCACGTGCGGACCACCTGGAGGCCACGCGCTGGGTACACATGCGGAGGCCCGGCGAGAAGGGAGCACATGTAAGAGCCGAACTGCAGAAAAACGTCTGGCCACTCCTGTGTGTTAACTCTGGCCCAGGCCGACCGTGCCGTGCATCCAAGTTTCAGATGCACTCATGCGGTCAAGAATTCTTGCTTGGCGCGTCGCGGGGGCGGCCCCGGCGACACGCCATGCCCTGCGGAGCTGATGGCGTGTCGCTCCACCACGCGGGAGGCTGGGAAAGGCTCGGACCGTTGACGCTCGGGGACTGGGACGTGGCCAGTCGCGCCGAAGCATGGTGGCCAGAACCGTCGGCGCGACACGCCAAGCCAAATCTCCTGAAAACGAACCTTCTGCAGGAGTCGAACAAGGCAAGGCTACTTCAGTAAGAGCACTCCTTATCATCGACACCATGTGTGGACGTCAAGGTGTTTTTTTCTCCGAACGTGTCCTCGGGCCCTCTCAATCTGAATCTCTTCCAGGGCCCACTGGTGCTAAGTTTCGCCCTCGCTCCAGAAACATCGAGGGAGGAAAATATTGGACGTTTGTGAAGTCATGTGTCTGTTTTTGGAACCGATGCTAAGCCTCCAGAGGACTCCTGTGGCCTCTGGGCGCGGATCAAGTTCTAGGGCCGTCGCCGTCCTCCCCCGGGAGGGCCCGATCCCGTAGTTCGAATTCGAGATGTTGGACGAGATCCTCCTCTTCCTCCTCCGCCTCGTTCGCCTCTTTCGCCTCCTCCTCCTCCCTCCTCCTCCTCCTCCTACCTCCTCCTCCTTCTCCTCCTCCTTCTCCTCCTCCTCCTCCTCCTCCTCCTCCTCCTCCTCCTCCCCGCTCCGCCTCAACCTCCTTCTCCTCCTACTCCTCCTCCTCATCCTTCTCCATGCTCCTCCTGCTCCCCTACTGGGAGGCGCCCGCGAATCATTATCTCCCCAGCGCCGGAGTGGTCAGCACCCAGCGACTGCTCGAACGACGCCAGGGCCCTGGCGTACAGAGGCTCCGCCTCCGCAGGTTAGCCGCAAAGGTGAACCAGCTCCTCCTCCGCCTGCTGCCCCTCTCGTGCCCCTCCCCCTCCCCATCCTGCACGTCCTCCTCTTTATGCCTCTGCACGTTCTCTCCTCCTCCACCTCGAGTTCCTCCCCCCTCCTCCTCCGCCTCATCCTCCAGCTCGTCCTCCCTCTTGATTGGTCCTTCTGCCCCTCGCCTCCTCCTCCGCCTCCTGCCCATGCCCCCTGCGCGCCCGCATCAAAATCATCCTGATCTTCATCCTCCGCATCTTCTATGCATACGTGCATACATTGCGGCAGGAGAGGTAGGGAGTGTACATATCGAACGAGTAATGTCTAACAACATTTTTTAACAAAACCATCTGGGGGGGGGGACAACAACAAAATAATTATTCGCGGCGCTGTAGCGCGCATGTAAACAAAATGAAGGCGGGGCAAACCGGACCGCTGGGGACGTCCCCGCGACCGCCCTGGCACTCCGCGTCCAGGGGCAAATTCCTGCGTTGGGTTCGCGCGGGGGGGCAGGTCTTCAGAGACCCCTCGCGTCAACGACGATCGGCGCCAACACTCGGCGCCGACATTCGGCGCCGACGCTCGGCAGTCGCACTCGGCGTCGACATTCAGCACCGACACTCGGCGCGCGCACTCACAACGAGTGCACTCTCAGCCCCATCGCCTCGCCAGAGTGCACTCACCAGAATGCACTCTGGTGAATGCACTTTGGGAATCCAAAGGGGGATGTCCAGAGTGCAGCGACCCACGCAGGGCGACTTCCCCATCGCGAACAACACACAAAAAAAACGCCACACGCGCGCGTCGGCACATTGCAAGCTGCACCAGCAAACGAGAACGTAAAGACCGCATCCCAACTTGGAAACCTAATCGGCAACCGCTAGAAAGAAGGTTCGCTTCAGTTCGCTGGCCAGCACGGCGACATTCCAATCACGGACAAAACAGAAACCGCCGCGCGAACGCGCGCGTCGGCGCATTGTAGGCTGCACCAATGGACGAAAACGTAAAGATCGCGTGTCCCGTGGGAAATCCCATCGGCGACCGCTAGAGGTTCTAGTTCCCAGACCAACATTGCGACTTTCCAATTGACACAGGAACCGCCGCGCGCGCTCGCGCGCGTCGGCGCACTGTAGGCCGCACCGATGTACGGAAACGTAAAGACCGCATGTTAAGCTTGAAGCTCCAAGTTGCAAGCGCTGAGGGTTTACTTCAATTCCTAAGCCAGCATGGCGACATTCCGATTGCTGACAATTCAGAAACCGCCACACGCGCGCGCCGACGCATTGTAGGCTGCACCAATAGATGAAGGCATACAGACCGCATGTAAACTTGGAAATCCCATCGGCAAGGGCCACGGTTTCACGTTAGTTCCAAGGCCAGCAATGCGACTTACCCATTGCGGACAAAACGCAAACTGCCACGCGAAAGCGCGCGTCGGCGCATTGCAGGCTGCACCAGTGGACGAACGCAAAACGTAAAGACCGCATGTTAAATGGGAATCCAAACGGCAGCGGCTGCGGGTTCACGCCACGCGCGCGCGGGCGCGTCGGCACATTGTTGGCTGCGCCGATAGACGAAAACGTGAAGACCGCATGTTAAGTCGGAACGATCCGCAGCCGCTGCGGGTTCACTTGGGTTCGCAGGCCAGCCTGGTGACTTTTCGATTGGGGGCCGCCGCGCGCGAGGCGGCCCACGCGCATCTGGTTGGACAAGATAACACCGTGCGCGAGGCGCCAGAGCCGCCGCGCGTGCCGCGGCCCACGCGCATCTTGTATGGGCACGCACAATGCGCGAGGGTCATGGGCCATGGGCCGCCGCGCGCGCGGCGGCCCATACGCATCTTGTACGGAACAAATAGAATGCGCGAGGCGCCAAGGGCCGCCGCGCGAGCGATGGCCCACGAGAGCGTTGCATGACAAACGCAATGCGCGAGTGGGCCCACGCGCGTCCTGCGTAGATATACACATATAAACATACTGCGCGAGGGGCCAGGGCTGCGTGCGAGCAATGGCCCACGCGCACCTTGCATGCACAACAAATACAACGCGCGAGCATGCCCAGGGCCGATGCGCGCGGCGGCCCGCGCGCATCTCGCACGCACGCGCGCAATGCGCGAGGGGCCAGGGCCGCCGCGCGAGCGATGGCCCACGCGCGCCAAGCGCGCTATGCGCGAGGGGCCCGGGCCGCCGCGCGCGCGGCGGCCCGCGCGCATCTTGCTTTAAAAAACAACACCATGCGCGAGGCGCCAGAGCCGCCGCACGCGCGGCGGCCCACGCGCATCTTCAATGGGCACGCGCAATGCGCGAGGGTCACGGGCCATGGGCCGCCGCGCGTGTGGCGGCCCACGCGCATCCTGCATGGAAGCATAAAACGCGCGAGGGGCAAAGGCCGACACGCGCGCGGCTGCCCACGCGCATCTTGCATGGCAAACGCAAAATGCGCGAGGGGCCTGGGCCGCCGCGCGCGGGGCGGCCCGCGAGCATCTTGCGCTGAGAAAAACAAAGCGCGAGGAGCCAATAGGCTGCCGCGCGCGCTGCGGCCCACGCGCATCTTGCATGGAATAACACAATGCGCGAATGGCGATGGGCCGCCGCGCAAGCGCCGCGGCCCACGCGCGACTGGCATGGAAAATCAGCCTCGCGAGGGGCCCGACAATGCGCAGTTGTGAATGCGGCAATTGTGGATGCCATCTTCGCCCGCGCTGCCGACGTGGCCACGGCTTCCCGCCGGGGCCCGACATGCTCAGGGGCTCGTTCGCGGCCGTCTTCGCGGGCGCCGACGACGAAAAGGGCGGCGCCCCCCTGACCGAAGAGCAGAAGCAGGAGAGGGCACTGGCGCCTTCGGAGGAGCTCCTAATGGGCCATGTGCCGAAATGGCCGAAATGGCCCTGGGCCGCCGCGACCTCTGCCACTGGGGCCATCGGTGGAGCACCCTGGGGCCACGATCCTCGTGAGCGGTGTGCCGAAATGGCGCGGGGCCGCCATGCGAACCCTGCCGCTGGCGCCTTCGGTGGAGGTCCCTATGGAGCCACGATCTTCGAGAGGGGTGTGCCGACATGGCCCGGGGCCGCCGCGCGAGCCCGTGCCGAAATGGCCCGGGGCCCCCGTGCGAGCCTTCGGCGGAGCTCCCTTTGGGGCCACGATCCTCGCGAGGGGTGTGCCGACATGACCTGGGGCCGCCGCGCGCGGCCTTCGGTGGGGCTCCCTATGGGCCACGGTCCTCGTGAGGGGTGTGCCGAAATGGCCCGGGGCCGCCATGCGAACCCTGCCATTGGGGCTTTCGGTAGAGCTCCCTGTGGGGCCGCGATCCTCGCGAGGGGTGTGCCGAACTGGCGCGGGGCCGCCGCGCGCGGCCTTCGGTGGGGGTGCGCCGAAAAGGCCCGGGGCCGCCGTGCGAACCCTGCCGGCGGGGCCCTCGTGAGGGGTGTGCCGAAATGGCCTGAGGACGCCGCGCGAAACCAACCGCTGGCGCCTTCAGTGTGGCTCCTATGGGGCCGCGATCCTCGTGGGGGGTGTGCTGGGGCGGCCCCGGGCTGCCGTGCGACCCCTGCCGCTGGCGCCTTCGGTGGAGCCGCGATCCTCGTGGGGGGCGCGCCGAAATGGCCCGAGGCCGCCGTGCGAACCCTGCCGCTCGGGCCTTCGGCGGAGCTCCCTATGGGGCCGCGATCTCCGTGAGAGGTGTGCCGAAATGGCCCGAGGCCGCCGCGCGAACCCTGCCGCTGGGGCCCTCGGTGGAGCTCCCGTTGGGGGCGGGGGGGGAAGGGGGGGGGGGGGGGGGAAGGGGGGGGGCGGAGCGCGGGGGCCGTCTCTTCAAAACGGCACCCAACACAACAAGATGGTTGGGAAATCGAATGCGCGAAGGCCCAGGGCTGCCGCGCGCGCGGCGGCGGCCCGCGCACGTCGTGCATGGGGGAAAAAAAAAAACGCAGCGCTCGAAGGGCCATGTGCCGCCGCGCGCGCGGCGGCCCACGCGCACCTTTTATGCGAAAATACACGATGCGCGAGGGGCCAGGGCCGCCGCGCGCGCGGCGGCCCACGCGCATCCTGCATGGAAACTCATGGTGCGCGAATGGGCCATGGTCCGCCGCACGCGCGGCGGCCCGCGCGCATCGTGCACGGAAAAACGACAATGCGCGAGGCGCGAACGGCCGCCGCGCACGCGGCGGCCCACGCGCACCGACGAGGATGGGGCAGGGCCCCCCCCGCAGCGAGCCGCTCTTGGGAGAGCGCCCCATCTTCAGGGCGAGAGGGGGAGAGGGGGCCCAAAGCGAGCCAATAAGTTTTCGAGCAAGCGCACGGTCTCCAAGGCGTTCCTCTCATAGACGAGAAAGGAGAAAGTCCCGCAAACAAATTGCCGATGCTTGGCATGCGCGTGGCCGCCGCCAGCCAGCGGCCCGGCTTGCAGCTAGCCGCCTCCCGGAGGAAAGACCTCCATGCAGAGCGCTGCGGGGCAGGCGCCGAGGGCGCGGGCGCTCGCCGCCAAGGAAGCAGTCCGGCAAAGATAAACACAGTGAGCGAAAGGTCATTGGCCGCCGCGCGCGCGGCGGCCCACGCACATCTTGTATGAGAAAAACATAACAATGCGCGAGGGGCCCTGGGTCGCCGCGCGCGCGGCGGCCCGCGCGCATCTCGCGTGGAACAACGCAACGCAGCGCGCGATGGGCAGCGGGCGGCCGTGCGCGGCGGCCCCCGCGCATCCTGCCTTGAAGAATTCGGCGCGCGAGGGGGCAAGGCCGCCGCGCGTGCGGCGGCCCGCGCGCATCTTGCGCGGCAGCCCACAGTGCGCGGGGGGTCATGGGCGGCCGCGCGAGCGATGGCCCGCGCGCCCTATGCATTGGAAAAAACACAATGCGCGAATGGGCCAGGGCCGCCGCGCGCGCGGCGGCCCGCGCGCATCCTGCGCGGAATGACGCGATGCGCGCGGGCCAATGGGCCGCCGCGCGCGCGGCGGCCCACGCGCATCAGGCATGGACAAAAGCACGACG